CCCCCACCGCCCTCCCCTGCTCTGTTTATCCCAAAACAAAGAGTTCTTATTTCACTCTGCCTTTTCTCACAAAAACGTTTCCAATTATTTACAAACACACCCAGCAGAAAAACATTACTGCACATTCTCCATACGCTCTACCCATCTTATGATACAATTTTTCAACGAAAGCAGTGCACTAGAAATGTGACCATATCTAAGCAAATGCAACTATAGTCCAGAAGGACAAATGAGCATCACTGAAGGGCAGACTTACTGCTGGAATTAGCGAGAAGCAAAGATGGATATGGCAGTGGATGCAACTGCAAGTCTTGTCTTATCAAGAGCAATGCAGTTGAAATCCTGTCTTCAGATCGTCTGTTCAGGGTCTAAAGTTTTTCTCCCACCCTAAATGACTCACTGTAAAGAGCAGCCCCCTATCTCCCTTTACTTTGTCATTAGCATTATTGCTATTTTCTGTGTGGGGACATGATGATAATTGGGGGATGGAATCTAAACTTTGGGGGTGGTAGACTGGCCACACCATCTCCTCGCCTCCCTCGTGTTCTTCATTACTGTGCAAACAGGACCCTTTTAATAAGCACTTTGGCCTTAAACCCTTACAAGGCCGATCAGAGGCCAGAGGCCCTCAGTGTGGCCAATGAGGCTTAGCCCATTGATAAGCAGTCACTCACTCTCATATGGGGTACCTTCCTAAAGGTCGTCCTGGAGGTGACAGAGACATAAGTCACTTAAACAGTCTTTCACTTCAACTTTGGCAACGCAGTTCCCAGGTCTCATATCCTGTTGGGTGTTTCTGTCTGAGGTGTATATTCTTAGAAGGAAAACTGAGCTTTTATCACGGAACAGAAGAGAATGGTGCCAGAGTCTCTCTATGAATTTACTCAGTTATGAGTCAACTGTGTAAGAATATAAGAAAGAGTATTTTTGAATCAAACTCATTCTGCTAAACATCTTTCCCAAGAAATATATGTGAGAGAATGTGGCTATTATCCATCACATCACCTCAAAAGTTTTTGGATATTTTCCCAAGCAGTTTATTTATTTTATAAATAAACGTGCTTTTTCTTGGGGAGAGGGGGGCAACTGACCTACTAATCTCCCTTGAAATTATATAAACTCTGCTGTAATGACAGTGCAACTTGTCTAAGTCCATGCAGTTGTGATATGTGACCATGCAAATGTTTTACATATTCAAAAAATAGAACTAAATCAAACAGGGAAAAGAAAAGAATCCTTAAAATTTAAAACAAACTGAAATGAATTTAACTAATACAAAATTTGTTACACAATCGTGAAAAGAAAATATATTTTTTAAGTGGCCTTAGAACACAGGATTCTTAGTGAAATCTAGCTTAAGATCAAAAAGAACTGCAAGGAAAGGTTAAACACTATTCGCAAGTTTTATTGTTAGTAGCAATATTGATATTATTTTGAAAATGTTTGACATATATTGTCATTAAAAGCAAATAATTATGCTAATATTGTCAGGAACCAAGGTTTTCTGTTCAAGAGGAAATAAATGTAAATAAAGGAAGCTAAGTAAAACCCTGTAAAGTGAAATTAGAATTGGAAATATCAATATGAACTCTGCTTTTAAAATCTGTCCTCTGGAAGGACCTAGAAGCAATGACATCTCTGTCACAATGATCAATGCTAAAGTTTCATCTCTAATCATGATTGATTAATCACTAAAAGGAACTAAGTATTTTTGAGAAGTAGTTGATTCCAGGTTTAAATTTAAAGTCACAATTATATTAAGAAAATGTGGCAAATGTGGATAATTATGAAATCTAGGTGATGGGTTTCTTATGTTTGTCATTTTTACTTTTCAGTGTGTTTTCATTTTTATTTTTTTATTTTAATATTTTTTAATTGATTTTTTTTTAGAGAGAGAGGAAGGAAGAGGGGAAAAGAGAGAGGAGAAACATCAATCGGTTGCCTCCCGCACCCACTCACCCCAACTGGGGATCGAACTTTCAACCCAGGTTTGTGCCCTGACCAGGAATCAAACGGGTAGCCTTTGGGTGCACAAGATGATGGTCAACCAACTGAGCCACACCAGCCACAGCTCAGTGTGTTTTTAAATTTTTCATTCACAACATTGCAAATAAAATATCATCATTAAGTTAAAAAACAAATTCTCCTTGTACTAATGTCCTGTATCTGTGGGTAACAAATTTTTGGCTTATGTAATTATTAATAACTTAACTAACTCCCAATGTTTAAATCCTTTTCATTAATCTAGGGCTTTGAGTCCAGAGCGCATGCATGCATGTGTGCCTGCATGCGTGGGTGCATGTATTTTAGAAGCAAGAGAAGAGGGAGGACAATATCTCATCTACCCCCATTCAGACCTCTGAGAGGACACAGACCTCTATGCAGCTGTCTATAGCACAGCCAAAGCAGTGTGCAGGCCAGTATGTAATGCGATTAGGTCTGCAGAGGCCTTGCCAAGTTCTGTCTGAACTGCTCCTCCCAGCCCCACCCCCCGCAATGTGCTTGCTTTGGAGAAGGAATCTAAGTAAATTTCCATATGCATAGAACCAGCCACAAAATTTGTGAGGTCCACTGCAAAATGAAAATGTGGGACCCCTTGTTTATAAATTATTAGGAATTTCAAAATGGTGATAGCAAAGGGAAGTAAGCCAATTACGAAGCCTTTCTAAGTATAGATTCCTCTATGACTTGACTGCCATGAAGCCAGGAATGATGGAAGAATAAATAATTGTAGTGCGGAAATCTCACATTGATCGTGAGAACTATATATGATGCAAAAACAGTCTCTTGTAGCTATCACAAACTATGTGTGTATATATAGGTGTGTGTGTGTGTATAGGCTCTCTATCAGATTTCTAGTATAAAATTATATATAATGTAAAACCACTCATGAAAAAGTATACATAGAAAAGGACTTCAAGGAAAACTTGGAAAATATTAATAATGGGTTGCAGTTTCATAGTCCATTTTAACCTTCTTTCTATTTTTCCATATTTTTCACAACTAGAAATAAGAGGGGGGAAAAAACAATTAAAAATTGTTTTCATCCAAGACTTTACCCTACTGGCCAGCTTCGTCTGCTGAAGTGATGGGGCTCCTTGCAGGATAAACCAACTTCGGAACCAGAAAGAAATGTGACACCTACTTGATCTCAGACTGCCCACATGGTTTCTTCCTGGAGAGGTTGAGCAGATCTTTGCCATATTTCTCTTCAATTGATGCCCTGAGGGGAACAGAAAAAAGGGTGATAAGTCCTTCTCAGGGCTGACTCTTAGTTAAGACACAGGACACTCCCCTACTGCACCTTTGAGAGTAGCTCAGATATAATACCATTCTCTAAAATACAAAACTTCTACATAACAGAGAAAAGGCCATTATAAAAAGACCAGTGGCCTTTATCTCTAAGGTGGTCTTCTCCAGCTAAAAGGTCCTGGCATGAACATTACAGCAAAACCAAGCATGGCCTCTGACCAGTACAAGCTAGTACATTACAGATGAAAATGCCAAAACTATGATCCAAAGAGATTATGTATATATAAATATATATATATTTGGAGGTATTTAGTGGAGTAAGAGATATTTCCAACAAATGCACGCCTGAGACCCATTTTTCCTCCTCCTATCTTCTCTAATAGTACCCTTTCATCTTCCTATAGAGTTCCTCATTTATAGTCAATTCAAATACACACCTAATTATACTAAAGAGGGGAATTTCAGAATATAAACTCTGCGATCAGCATGTCTCACAAAAACAACTGGTCATTATTTGGTGTGGCATGAGTCTGCTAAAGCACCAAAAATACCCCTTTCTCCCCCCTTTTCCCTCTCCCCATTGCCCTTTGCCACCATCTCCATGTTGTAACCAAGACCCCCAGTGGATGCTTGAAACCACGGAGAGTACCAAACTCTATACATACTGCTTGTTTTCTATACATACATACCTTTTCATTTAAAGGAAGCACTTTACGGCTTCTCTTTAGCATATCTGAATTGCCAGCATCACTACTTTTGTGCTTTGGGGCCATTATTAAGTAAAATAAGAGTTACTTGAACACAAGCACTGTGATACCAGGACAGTCAATCTGATAACCAAGATGACCACTAAGCAGCTAACAGGCAGGAAGTACATACAGTGTGGATATTCTGGACAAAGGGATGATTCACATCACAGGCAGGACAGAGCGGGACAGTGCAAGGCTTCTTCACTCTACTCAGAAGAGCTTGCAATTTAAAACACATAAATTGTTTATTTCTGGAATTTCCCATTTAAAATTTTCAGACTGCAGTTGACTGTGGGTAACTGAAACCGCAGAAAGCAAAAGCTCAGATAAGGGGGAACTATTGCATCTATATAAAAATTTATCACACTCTACAGAGAACATTTAATATTTTTACACATAAGACGATGCTAAGGCCATTTTCTTTTCTTTCTTTTTTCTTGTTTTTTTTGTTGTTGTTGTTGTTAATCCTCACCTGAGGATATTTTTACCATTGATTTTCTAGAGAGAGTGGAAGGGAGAGGGAGAGACAGAGAGAAACATCAATGTGAGAGAGACACATCGATTAGTTGCCTCCTGCATGTGCCCTGACTAGGGCTGGGAATTGAGCCTGCAACCAAGGTACGTGCCCTTGACTGGGAATCGAACCCAGGACCCTTCAGTTCATAGGCTGATGCTCTAAAGACTAGGCCAAACCGGCCAGGGCACTAAGGCCATTTTCATTAAAAAAGTATATATAGCCTGGCTGACGTGGCTCAGCAGGTGAGCATCGACCTGTGATCCAGGAGATCTCGGTTCAATGCCCGGCCGGGGCACATGCCCAGGTTTGGGGCTCGATCTCTGGTAGGGGGTGTGCAGGAGGCAGCCAATCAATGATCCTCTCATCATTGATGTTTCTCTCTCNCTGGGGCTCGATCTCTGGTAGGGGGTGTGCAGGAGGAAGCCAATCAATGATCCTCTCATCATTGATGTTTCTCTCTCTCTCTCCCTTCCTCTCTCTGAAATCAATAAAGATTTCTTAAAAAAAAAAAGTATATATGTGTGTATGTTTAAAATATGCACATATTTTATACTTTCAGAATTATAGACATTAAGAATTCTCAATAATCTTTTGTAGTTTCCAGGAAGAGAAATTATGAAATTGCTTTTTTTTACATTAAGGCACCGAGAATCTGAACACACCACAGGCAGCATCTGACCCCCATAGAAAGTCCTAGAGCCTGGTANACTCAGCCAAGTCCCTAAGGAGGGGGAGCGGGGGGAGCAGGGCGAGTGCTAGCACCGCTGCCCACCACTCGGGTCAATGCCTCAGAGATTTCTCTCTCGATGACACTAGGGCAAGCGGGCCTCCCGGGTCTTTTTCCCTGGGCAGCACCTCGCCCGGCGGGTCCTCCCCGGGGGGAGTCCCGCCGGCTCCCCACAGCCTGGTAAGAACTGCATTCCAGCAAGAACAATGGTGTGCTCTTTGGAGAAAGAAGAAAGTTTATTAAGGTGAAATGACAGCCTCATCTTCACTGTATCAGCGGAACAAACATAAGATTGAGAGGATATCCCCCCAGCAAATGGGAAGCAATGGAGTCCAGGGGCCTGTAGCCAATAAAGGAATCACTAGCACTTTGCAAAAATCACCCTGAAATAGGTAAGCCTTTACCTAGGTCACCCTCCTACCATCTATGCAAATTTTCTCTGTCATCTGTTCATTAATTTGTCATTTACTAAATACCCACTATGAGCCAGGCATCCTATTAGGAAAACATAGAGATGACTGAAATATGAGACCTGTCTGGAGGAGCTCATAATCTGGCAGGGGGAGAGATATAAACCAATACTTTAGTTTTCTACCATGTAATGAGGGCCATAATGAAAATATACAAAACAGTAGAGGAAACAGAGGAGTGAACAGTACTCCTCTAAGCACTTAGCTGCTTACACTTTCTTCACAAAGCCCTCCTTGAAAACTCCAGTTCATTTTTATCCCTCCCCCAGGCAAATTCCTAGACCAGGAAAAATCCATGTGCCATTTCCCCTTCAATGACCTATAGCAAATACTGTCAGATCTGGCCTTTTTCATCAGGCCTGAAAGCAGCCTCAGGATGATCCTCGGCTCAGTGCTCCAGGCCCCAAAGTTAGAGTGGATGTGTGAGATGAAATCCTTTAGCTATAAAACCTAACACTTAGACATCTTGCTCAGTTTTACTGTACATGCCAATCATAGCACCTTGACCAAATTATAAATTCTTTGAGGAGAATCATGTTGTTAAATCCAGAGGGGATCTTACAGAGCATCAACTACAACCCCTTCAATTTACAGAGGAGGAAACTGACACAAAGAAAGATCTAGGCCCTTGATTAATATCACCACTGGCTGCCAGGAAGCCAGGATTAAAAGATCTGGGTGTCTGGGCTTCATCCCAGTACTCTACTTCCCTTGTAGGTCTCAGTTTCCAGCCCATTCTATTGGGTACATGTTATGAATTGAATTGTATTGAATCCCACCCTCCCCACCCCACCTCCCCACACACAAAATGTTGAAGTCCTAACCCCCAGTATCTCAGAATATAACTTCATTTGAAAATTGGGTCATTGCAGACGTAATCAGTTGAGTTTACCCTGGGTAAGGTGAACCCTTAATTCAATATGACTGGTGTCCATATAAGAAGATGATATGAAGACACAGGAGAAAAATGCCACATGAGGACAGAAGAAGAGATTGGAGTTAGCAGCTGCAAACCGAGGAACACCAAGGACTGCCAGCAACACTAGCAACTAAGAAAAAGACATGGAACAGATTCTCTCCTCGAGCCTTCGTGAGAGCACGATCCTGCAGACATCCTGATTTTAGACTTCTGGCCTCCAGAACTATAAGAAAGTAAATTTCCAGTTTTTGGCAATTTGTTACAGCAGCCTTAGAAACTTATACAGTACGTTATGGCTTGGCTATAACTTGACCACCAGGTACTAATGTCTAAGGGAATCTGTCGTTGCCACCCTGGCAACCTGTCATTCTTAAGCCCATCCTGAGAGATAGTGAGGATCCAAGAGTAAGAGCTGTAACCAGGGCAGGTTGACCTCTCCCTAGAAAGGAACCCTGGGATGTACAGGAGCTCATGCGAAGAGCAGAGTCCCAAGGCACTGGGGCTGGGGATCCCCCAGCCCATAGGTACAGCAGCTAACCTACAAGTGGTGCACAATTCCACACATAAAGGAACTCCACAAACACGCTTCCTTCCTCCCTAGCCTCAGGGTTGGGTTGCAATACACGATGCAGAGCACTGACCTGGCCACCAAGTTCCTGGAGAAACCCTCTTTCAGAAAATGTACCCAGACATCATAGGAGACCATTAAGTAAAGTGGAAAAGTCATTAGACATGAGGTTAAAAGACGCCCTGGCTCCACCACTTGCTGCTTTTGTAATCTTGGGCAGGTCATTTAAACCCCCATTAAGCCTCAGATTCCTCAACTGTAAAGTGGAGTTGATGATGCATACCCTACCTTCTAAGATTAATATAACAGAACTAGTAATGGGGACCATTTACCCACCACTTATTGTGTATCAGGTGCTGTACTAGGCATACTGAAGTTGTTAACAGCACAGATTCCAGGGGCCAACTTTCCGAGGTTTAAAACCAGATCTTTCCCTTACTATGTAGCTAACCTTAGGCAAGTTATATAACATCTCTGAACCTGTTTTTTCAGTTGTAAAAGAAGGATGATAAAACTTGCCACACAGGGTTATTGTGAGAATTAAATGACCTAATATATGCAAAATACATGGAAGCTGGCTTGTACCAAGTACATCTTCAATAAATGACAGCTATTACTATAATCTCATTTAGCCACCCCTCCTCTCTGCAGTATGACTATCGTCAATTTTCTATTTCTTATTTCCTACTCACATCAGGAGCTCAGTATGTAATGTCTGGTCCCACTGGTCTCTAGAAGGCAGAGAATTGGTGGGTTTGGGCTACCAGTGATAAGATAGGTTCATTTTAACCAGTAACCAGTAGAAGACCTGAGATTGGAGTGCTATGTAGAATGCTTCCTTTAAAGAAAAAAAAAAAAGAAGAGGGAAATTTGACCTGGATTTTAAGGATGGGGAGAATTTACTCAAGCACAGAGGAGAAAGGAGGGTATTCCAGGTATCCAGGTGGGAAATAATGGAGTAAAGATGCAGAGACAGAGACATCCAAAGCATGCTCACTAATAAACCTGTCTGACTGGAATAGAGAGAGTGGTGTTAATGAGTGAGAATGTATGAAACAGGAAACGCAGATAGAGAAGGTCTTTGCATGAGGAACAAGCCCATCCTCCCAGAAAGTCACCTGCCCTTTTGCCCAGAGTTGGTGAATCATAAACATAGGGTCTGTGTTAAGTTGCATAGGCCCAGGGATCAGCCATACAGATGCAATTAAGTCAGCATTCCTGCCCGCTCCAGAGCAAGATCTGACACAACACCTTGCATTTAGGTGATTGTTCTGTCTGTCCCCAAATGAGTGTAAACAGATTGACTGCATTCCATCTGGGTATAACTAAGGTTGAGCTCCCAGAAATTCCAGAGAGGTCCATGGCAGGACTGTGACACGTCAGCAGGAGGGGTGGGGTGTCTCAAAACTAGGATATAGGACATAGTTAGCCACATACCATAAAAATTTTATAAACATATGTGTATCACACTTGATGAAATCAAAATAATAAATAATATTATTTGTGATAGTATAATATGACAGGCTGCTGTTATCTTTGTCCCTGTGTGTATGTTTTGCTTCTGGCCCATATGAATATGCCAGGGTTCTGCACGAAATTTAAGACAGCTCACTAAAATAATGCTCAAGACCCAAGGAGGATGTTTCAGCAACATCAAACTATGGCCCCAACTCAGCAGACCAAGTCCCAAGTTCCATAAGCACCTGGTACCTACCATGGCAAGAGGATAATTTATGTGAAGAGGACTGCACTTGCATTATCATCCTGAAAAGGACAGAGGCCAGACGCATACACTCTCCTCAGTGACAGCAGCCTCCTTCTCGCAAGCACGCCACCAGAAAAGGGTGCCCAAAGACCAGGCAGGCACGTGCTCAGGGGTTTCAAGTCCCCACACTCAGGGCATACATACATATATGACACTCTGACCTGATGGCAGCAGATTCTTCCTCAAAGCCAGGGCACATGGGACTGGTTTCTTTTGCTATGAAACTCCTGGAGAAAAATGGCCGTATACTAGAAATACACTATGAATACTAATCATTTTAATTTGCATATATTTTTCCCTCTTTCCCATATATTTTTGTGAAGCATTTGAAAAGTGAGATCTTAGCTTTTGGGTTCTATTTGGACTTATGTTTTTCCAACTGTAGGTCACGACCCATTAGGAAACCTTAAATCAATTCAGCGGGTTATGACTAGCATAAAATCATAGGGTTGTAATGTTTTCTTACATTTTTGTTTTCTGCATGTGTGTGCCAGGTGGCAGTGTAATATGTATTTCTTACTGAGGGTTACATTTTTTAAAATGTGGACAGCACTGATTTACACCACCATCCCATTGTGTCCGGGTACCATTGAATGGTCCAGCCTGGGCAGCAGAAGCTTCAGCCATTAGCCAACACCTCCTTCATGGATGTGTCACAAGGCTATTTCATTCCCAGGAGAAAATGTATAAAAGCCCTAACCAGAGGAGGAACACAAAAGCAAGGGGTGTTCTGCAGTCTCTATTTCCTGCATAGTTGTGGGACTCTCGATTGCTTGCTACCTTGTCAGCTCTGTTGAAGGAGGAAGCCCACCTCCAGTGCCTATCAAGAGAAAGGAAGGCTGTAACTTGGTATCCCCACTGTCAACCAGCTTGTGTAGAAGAGGGAGGCTGATCCCTCAAAGGACAAGGCACAATGACCAGCTCCATAGAGCCTGTCAGTGGACAGACCTCGCTCTGTCCACTCTCCTGAGATGCACAGTGGGGCAGTGGTCCAGGTTCAGCTCTCTCTGAGCCTTTGAATCAGTTCAAGGCGAGAAGCCTCACCACCTGAGTGCGCCTACCAGTGTGAGCTCGGTGATGCCTAATGTTCTCTTGATTAGAAAATGAAAAGACTTGATCGAAGACTCTTTGATGTCTGTATCTCCAAGTTATGACTCTCTGACTCACTGCCTGACAAACAGAACTTGTTAATTAGTTTGGGGCCTAGCAATGACCTGGATCTTAGGCCAAAAATCCCCCTAAAGAACTCCATCCAGAATCACAATGGAGTATTCCAGATGAGCAAGAGTTACATAAAACTAACTCACTCCACTAAGTATAGAATTTTTATTTTTTAAAATCTTATCCATTAAAAAAAGAAAAGAAGCCCTGGCCCAGTAACTCAGCTGGTTAGAGTATCATCCTAATATGCCAAGGTTTCGGGTTCGATCCCAGTCAGGGCACATATAAGAATCAACCAATAAATGCATAAATAAGTGGAACAACAAATCGATGTTTCTCGCTCTCTTAAACCAATATACAAAAATTTTAATTAAAAAAAGAAAAGGAAAGAAAATCCTCTAACACAAGCCAGTCTCCTCCACCGCCACCAAACCCTGCTGCCACCTGGTGTGCAATGACCTGTCCCCACACCTTCGTCACTGCTCCCTGACCCCCAGTGGTCTCTGAACCAGGCTCTGCCCCCTGCTCACCACATGGATCATGCTCATTCTCATCTCCCAGCTTGCTGTTCCCCCACAGCTATCTGGATGCCTCTCCACCTATCAAATCCACCTCACCCTCGAAGGCCACCTCAAGGATCTCCTCCTCCATGAAGTTCCCAAGCCCCCCTTTTTTGACCAGTCCTCCATAGTCCCCCTCTCCACTGAGTCCTCTCAGTGTCATGAGTTATCACACAACCTAGTGGTTTATTACATTTTGTTTGCTGTTTGATTCATACATCTTCTCTCTCCAACTGGTTTCTAAGATCTTTAGGACAGGGATACCATTTACATCAGAGGGTCTTGTGAACCGTTAAACAACCAGGAAACAGTGAATCGTTCCTTGTTTACATAGAAGCATCTTTCCTCCCCTCCCTCTTCAGAGAGAAAACAGCATGTACCTCTCTTTTAAAAAGTCTTCGAACTCTTTGCAGTTCTTGCGGCCGTTGTTCAGATGTTGGATGATGCTGTCGTAGCCAACGGTGCTGAGGATGTCTGGACTCTGGTGAAAAAGGAACAACACGGTGTCAGACCAGGAACAGCACAGGCAGAAGCCCCGAGGCCTGAAGAGATGGGGGAAGCCCACAATGGGAAGTTCCTGAAACGCGTTACCTCCAAGACATATTTGACCAAAACAAACAAAATAGAAGAAGTAAGAACGCATGTAGCTGTGGAAGAGTTTTTGAAATTATGAAACTGAAGGACCACAAAACAGGAAGGAAGTGACAGAGGACTGAGAGGAACATGGATGAAGGAGCTGGTGGGGCTCTGGACCCCCATCCATGTCCTAAAGCAGGCCCAGGGCAGGGAAGCAGGAGAGCCTGACCCTAATGTCCCTTTTTATAGCCAATAAGCCCTGCTGAGGGTCAAGGGTATTGTTGCAAAGGGCGAGCAGCCCTGAGCCCGAAACCAGGCCCCAAGAGTGAGAGAAAAGGTCCGGCTTCCCATTGGGCAGCATGGAGGGGAGCCGGCAGCCAGCATGCTCCACATGGCCACTGGCCCCAGTTTGGGAGAAATAAATTTTCTTTTACTTTAAAATGAGCAGTTTCTTTCTCTTTTATTTTACTAGTGCTCTGAGATTGGAAGAAACTGCCTAATACTTGCAAAAGCATTAATCCTAGATGCAGTATATTTTAAAACTCAAAGTTCCCTCAGCTCCCCAAACCAACAAAATCCAGGACTCCAAGAAATATCCACTAAAGTGTCCCCTACTAAGTAAGGTTTGCTTCTTGGTTTCTACCCCCAAATGCTTACAATAGGTTGCCTGATGAGACTTCAGTCCCTCGGGAAGGTTGGTTAGTCTGTCCCTGGGTGCGTCTGGAGAGCTTTGAGCTTCCCCACCCCCAGCCCAGCCAAGGCAGGCCATTCCTTCCCAGCTCCCAGTCAGCTGAGAGAGATGTGACTCTGCCTGGGGTGGGGGTGGGGGACACCTGAAGACACCTCTCTGTCTAGCCCAGGACTAGGATAACAGCAGAATTCCTCTTCCATTTGCTGCCACTTGGCATGGCTGAGCAGATGGGTCCCAAAGAGACACAGCAGGACCAAAGTCTGAGGCTGATTTCAACGTGGCATTCGGAAACTAAACTGGCCATAGCTCCCACTGCATTAACAAATGGATTATTACAAGTATAAGAAATTTTACAGTCATATAGATAAATCTAAGTTAGAAATACACTTAATTCTATGGGTGCTGGCTGTTGTTCGAGCATAGATTTAGGCCTTGGGAAGCCTAAAAAATGGCCTCCGCCAAAGCTTCATTTCTCTACCCGCCCACTCCACATACCCTCTCTTCTGTTTCAACCAGGTAAGCTTTTGACTGCCCCCTGAAATGCAGTGCTCAGTGGCAACACCAAGACGATGCTTACATTATCCTCTCCTGAATCCAAATCCAGCCCCTCCACTTCCAAGTTTTCTGGAAGCCTTCAGAGTAGCCCAGTGGTCCCTCCTCTGGGCTCTCAGAGCACCCTGTTTCTGAATTTGCTCTTCGGTGTCCCCCACGTGAGTAGCCTTGCTGTCCCAGCTCCACTACAAGTGCCTGTGGCTTCTTCGACATCTTGGACCACTCCTGCCCACACACATACCCCCAAAATCCGGCTTATCTACAGTAAAATCCTGTAGGATGAAAATGCCTGTTGTGTTCCCAGCCAGGTGCATTAGACAAAAACAATGAAAACAAAGACTCCTGAGTGAATGACTAGGTACAAAGGGTCAAAGCAATGTTGGTTTTAGACAGAAGTGCTTTACTCTTCCCAGAGAAAGATACTCGGGTCGCTGTTTTATGCTACTCGCTTGGAAAACGTGGTTTCCCTGTTTTAAATTAAGGGTGTGTAGGCTCTTCAAGCTAGACAGGGAGGGTGGAGCTAGATCAGGGTTTCCTACAAACAAATCAAACTACCAGGCCTTCGGGCAGCCAGCCTTCAAAAAAACCCAGAATTGCTGCTTCAGAGGACTGACTGGGTTACAGAGGCANCCAGGGTTTCCTACAAACAAATCAAACTACCAGGCCTTCGGGCAGCCAGACTTAAAAAAAAACCCAGAATTGCTGCTTCAGAGGACTGACTGGGTTACAGAGGCAAGCAGGAAAGGAAATCCCCAAGAGAAAACAAAGAGTGCCTAGGGCCAAATTCAAAGCTGTGGAGGATTTGACCTGGAAACTCCTTCCTATATTACTCAGAGAGCATGGGCCAAGTAGGAAAGAATACCGCATGAGCACCAAGATAGCATCACAGATCTGCCATCAGAAGTGAGTGAGCCAAACACAAAACCCCAGTATCCTCGACTTGGTCATCAGGGCCCTCTACACATTATATTTTACTTCTCTTTTCCAGCTTTCCCCTCACTGGTCTCTTTCTTGTTTTCCAAGCAGACCGTGTACATTTCTACCTTAGGACCTTTTCACATGCTCTTCCCACAGTAGGAATGGCGTCTCCTTCTCTTCACTTAAATCCAACCTCTGCTTCAGAGGCAGTTCAAACTCCATTTCCTCTCTGAAGTCTTCCTCAAATAATTCGCCCTATAGTCTCCTCTCCTTTTTCTGAATGCCTTGAGTGTTTAATGCCTAGTCATGTCATTCAGCTCTTACTATATATTATTATTCACATCTTCCAAAAAATTCGTTAACTTCTTAAAGAATAGCGGAATTATACCTAACCTCTATCACCCACAGTAGCTTCCACCTCACTGGTGCTTGAGCAATGTCTATGAATTGTATATCAACTACAGATAAGGAACTAAAGAGCTTACCAAGCCAGCAGAAGATAGGGTTCTTGCAGTCAGGGAGCCTATTGTTCACTTAGGGATTCAGGAAAAGACATGTACATAAAACAAACGTATATGCACAAGAAAAACCAGAGACTAAAAGAGTATAATAAGACTATGTAGAGAAAACATACAATGAGTGAGAGAGAAAAGCGAGAATGGGCTGGGTCTTCAGAAAATAGGAGAAATAAGATGGTTAGGATTCACACACAAAAATAATGACCTAAGCTTCCACTTTATGGAACTAGAAAAAGAACAAAATAAATCTGTAGTAAGGAGAAGGAAGGAAGTAAAAAATAGAGGAACATAATAAAATAAAAACGGATGCACGATAGAGAATATAAATGAAACCAAAAGTTAGTCCTTTGAAAAGTTTAATAAAATCCATAAATCCTTATCAGGTTGATCAGAAATCAAGAGAGAAAAAACACACAAATTATCAACGTCCTCAATCTGACAAAGGGCATCTACAAGAAACTTACAGTTAACAGCCTACTTAATGGCATAGGACTGAACATTTTCCTTCTAATAAAGAGAAAATACTGACGAGTGTCAGAGTGATGGAGGAGGGCGGGTGGGTGGAGGGAGAGAGAGTAACCAAAGAATTTATATGCATATACGCACAACCCAAGGACACGGACAATAGTGGGGAGAGGGACTGGGGAGAGGGATGGGATGGGGTGGAACGGGTCACTGGGGAGAAAAAGGGACATCTGTAATATTTTAAACAAAAATAAAATTTTTTTAAAGAGAGAGAAAATAAAGCAAGAAAAAGAAATAAAGGGCACATATTTATTAGAAAGGAAAGAGTAAAACTGCCTTTATTTACAGTCAGTATGATTGTGTACACAGAAAATCCTAGGGAATTTGACAAAAAAATTACTAGAACTAATAAATAATATAACAAGGTTGCAGGATACAAGGTCCATATACAAAAATCAACTGTATTTCTACATACCAGTGAGGAGGAGAGGGAATTAAACATCATTTACAATAGCATAAGAGATATAAAATATTCAGAAATAAATACTTAGAAGACTACACATGAAAATGATAAAACATTGCTTAAAGAAATGAAAGAGAACCTCAACAAAGGTAGGTATATACCATGATTGTGGATTGAAAGAGTAAATATTATTAAAATGTCAGTTTTCTCCAGATGGATCTATAAATTCAACACTATCCCATCAAAATTCCCAAAGTCTTTTCTGTAGAAATTTGCAAGTTAGCCCGGCTGGGGGTGGCTCAGCGGTTGAGCGTCGACCTGGGATCCAGGTGATTGGGGTTCGATTCCCGGTGAGGGCACATGCCCGGGTTGCGGGCTCGATCAATGACTCTCTCATCATTGATGTTTCTATCTCTCTCTCTCCCTCTCCTTTCCTCTCTCTGAAATCAATAAAGATATATTAAAAAAAAAATTGTAAGCACAAACCACCCAACAAATAAATCTTTATAATGTCACCAAACTAAATTGGTATACTTTCTATGAAATTTTTCTATGTCCTGAAAGATTTAAGACATTTCTAAAAAAAGTAAATCTCTTTGTAGATCATTGAAGGATTAGTAAAAATGCATATAACGTACAACATGCTCAAATGTACTTGAGAAGTATTTTTAAACAGAGCACTGTACAGATATTATTTTTACAATCTACAAGCAAAAATGAAATTGTAGTTTCCAAAGAAAATAAAANAGCAAAACAATTTTTTTTTTTTTTAAGAACAAAGCTGGAGAATTCAAACCATCTGACTTCAAAACGTTCTATGAAGTTACAATAATCAAAACAGTATGGTACTGATCTGAGGACAGACCAGTTGAACAGAACGGAATCCAGAAACAGACTCACTCCCTTATCAATTGACTTTCAACAAAGGTGCCAAAGCTATTCAATGAGGAAATGACAGTCTGTTCAGCAAATGGCCCTGAGACAACTCTGCAAACTTTTGGGAGAAGAGAGCCTCTACTCATTCCTCACACTGTACGTAAAATTAATTTGAGATGGCTCAAAGACTCAAATATAAAACACATATAAAACTAAAATATAAGGTTTTCAGAAGAAACCAATAGGAAAACACCATTGATAACTGGAGATATTTCTTAGAGAGGACACGAAAATATGAACTCCAACAGAAAAGACTGAAAAATTGGACTTTATAAAAATTAAAAGCCTCTGATCATCAGAGAAATTATTAAGAAAATTAAAGGACAAGCCACAGGCCAGGAGAAAATATTCACAATACATGTCAGTCAAAAGACTTATATCCAGAATATTTAAATAATACAACAAAATAATAGCAAAAATACATTATAAGCAACCCAATAAAAACTGGGCATAACACTTGAACTTCATAAATACTTCATAGAAAGATACTTCATAAAAGATATTCCTTTGGCCAAAAGTTCATGAAAAGTTGCTCAATATCACAAGGAAATTCAAATTAGAGTCACAATGATATCTACTTCATGCCTAGTAGAACAGCTAAATTAAAAAGTAAACATTGAACATAGGCAAGGAGGTTGAACTATCAGAACTCTCATGCATTGTTTGTGGGAGTGTCAAAATAGTGCAATCATTTTTGGAAGATGGCAATTTCTCAAAAAGCTAAACATACATGTACCCTAGGACCCAAAGTTCTACTTATAAGCATTTACCTAGTGAAATGAGAACATATGCCCAGGAAAAAGTCTTATACAAGAGTGTTCACAGGAGTTTTATTCACAATAGCCAAAAACTGGAAACAATCCAAATGCCTAACAATTTATGAATGATACACAATTTGTGGTTTATTTATACAATGGAATACTACTCAGCAATAAAAAGGAAAGAACTACTGACATGAAATAACATGAACGAATCACAAAAACATTACACTGGGAAAGATTCCAGACATAAAAAGTATTTACTGTATGATTCCATTTATATGAAATTGCAGGACAGGCAAGCAGTTTTAGAACTTATTTCTATGGAAAAAGAAATAAGAACACTTATTGCCAAAGCCAGGAAGGGTGTACTGGGAAGGGCAATTTGGGAACTTCCTGGAATACAGAAATGCATACACCCTTGTGACCCACATTCCTATTAAGATCTTTCTATAGAGGTGTGGATCGTACAGGTGTATGCAGTTTTCAAAACTCATTGATCTGTGTATTTCATCTTATATAAATTAGACCTCAAAAAAATTAAAAGGCAAAAAAAAGTTGATTAGGATTCAGAGGAATAATGGGAGGAAGGCTGTTACTGGAAGGAAGAGAAGCTAAGCCTCGTGAATGGACCTGGTCTTGGAGTCCTGAGTGAGGCAGGAGATGAAAAAGAAGGGGTGAGCAGATCCAAGCACCCAGGAAAGCCCCAATACCCAGAATGTAAGGTTAAAAATGCTCAAGTTGTAAAGAGGTAAAGAGCATTCAAGTTTTTTGTTTGTTTTGTTTTTTAATATATCTTTATTGATTTCAGAGAGGAAAGGAGATGGAGAGAGAGATGGAAACATCAATGATGAGAGTCATTGATTGGTTGCAGCCCACAACCCGGGCATATGCCCTGACCGGGAATCGAACCCCAGTCACCTGGATCCTAGGTCAACGCTCAACCGCTGAGCCACGCCCGGCCAGGCAGCATTCAAGTTTTAATCAAGGGATTTGTACTTTAACCATAAAGTCACTCAGGTTTTTTAGGACAAAAAATTTAGCAGATACAGCAGTGAGCACATCTGCTCCACACCCAGCAGATGTGTGAGCCAGGCAATAATAAAAGCAGCCTTGTGAGCACGCCAGCGGGCCGTCCAAAGCAGGTGGGGTGTG